AGTAAAGCCCACCTCGGCGGTCTTCTTTGCCTTCGATTCATATTCAGACTTCTCCTTAAGCTCTCTCTCTAGCATCTTCTGATAGTTGAATTTGGCAACATCCTCAAACCGTTGATCCCTCAAGTGCTCGAGCTTAGCCAATTCTTCCTTAAGCCGTACCTGGTCGTCATTATTCATGATTGCAGCTAATTTCTAGGATACCTGCGCCTCACGCTCGGCCAATACGTCACTATACATCATGGCACTGTGGAAGCTCTTGATACGATCAGTCTGCTCCTTGAGGATCTTATTGGCTCGCTGAATAGCTTTGCGTCTCTCTTCTAGCTGGTATCGAGCTTCCTCCATATCAATTTTCTGCCTGAGCGGAAATCCTCTGATTTGCATGCTTTTCAGAACTCGAAGAAAAGCACACTCGTGAGGACTCCTATCGCGACAGGTGGATGAGCGGCCTACCTCTCTCGCTCTTCTCTCTCAATACGCTCTATACGATCTTGTTCCTTCTTCTTGCGACTTCCATCTAAGGTGTTTGACCAGCCCCCGGCTCGAGCTTTCGACTTCTCATGCATAGCGAGAGCCTGCGAGCAGGAAAGACCATACGCTCACCGAGGAGGAGTCAACTCGGCTCAGCGAATACCCGCTCTCGCTTCTCAGCTACTGCTTTGTCATCATCGGTCTGACCAATGGCCGACTTCCGAATTCTATCGAGCTCGGAAGCATTGACAATCACCCCAGACATTGCTGAATGTAAGCCTGTGAACCACAAGTCACAATACCTTTTTCAATTTGGAAGATTGACATGAACACAGTATCGCATCACGGATAACATAGTGCGGGTGCACACAAACGATCCGTTCGCGGAGGCTAAGGAGTGGTTAGGGTTTGAGTGTTATGTATATCCCGAATACCACACCCCAACTGGCAGCTGATACCGGCCAGTGATGGTCGTGCACGCCAACAGCGTCGGCATTCCGAGTATCCGCCATGAATACCGAGAAGCCAGTCCTCCTTCCCAATGAATGGCCATCAACGGTCTGGAGTCTCCTTTAAGCAGTCAATGATTACAAATAACGACGTCGAGAATTATTCAAAATGGTTTAGAAATGTTCAAGTCAACCTATTCGAAAACGGGAGACAGAACCCGTAGACGACTTGACGCAGTTTCCAAGACCCAGAAACGCCCATTCGCTTGAGCGAAAATTCTGCAACTTCTGAAGGTCTCCGGCAAGGTGAACAAACCAGTGAGTGTCTCCGTCTTCAGATCAACACGCCATAAACGCATCCCGGCCGCCCCACGTGAGAAGCCGCAGAGCCAAGCGAGTCGTCTTGAACTATCTACATCTAGCCATCCAACGGCGAAGTCAAAAGTGGTGATGGTTCTGCGTCCTACACTCGGGGTCCACAATATTAGTTCAGATTCGGGATGTCGCTTGAGCTGAGTCTGGATCCAAAAAAGCTTTGTAACACCGTCATGAGTGGCGGCTACCAGACATTGGTATTCACTCCCAGTACGGTCAACCACAGAGCTGATACCCACATCATCACGAACGCTTATCCGTACCACTCCTTCGGCATCTTCTGTCAACGCCAAAGCATAAACAAACCCGTCACCACAACAACAGGCAGAGAATAGAGCGCCGACCCTGGCAGCACCAGAGGCTGACCTAATACGATGTCCTGGCCCGTCAGTAGCAGGACTAGAACCAGTCGTAGGCGATTCCCAGTCATAGACACGGTGGAGCAGTTTGGTGAGGTTATCAATCAGGATCAATGCGCCATCCGATGGGTCGACGCACATACTAGATATACTTGCCAAGGCATCGGCATAATCCAGGCTGGTGACACGGCCTTCTAGGTCAACTTTGCCGAGACGAAACCCGATGCTAGGAACCAACCACACGAGACCATCGGCATCAGGTTTTCTACAAAGAATAGGACCAACCAAGCAAGGCGTGAGATTGAACACGTCGAAACCCTCCATCACTGGCCAGGCGTAAGAGCAAATATCATAACGACAATCTATTCCATGTGCACGTGTGGCGAGCCAAGCGAGTACTACTACAGCACGCTCACGTTCCTCTGGACTGATTACCATCAGAAGAGGAAAAGCACTGCATCCCTACTCCAACGCTTTGGTTACGCCAACTCAACATTCTGAGCGACGTTGAGAAAACAAGTACTCCACTACTCAAAATGAGTAGAAGATGAAGAATTATTGAAGCTGATGTGCTTATCGGCACTTTTTGCGAGGCTTTATTGGTTCTTTTGTAAGATACGCCTAGAAATGGCAAAAGCAGAAGGTTACACTGGAACAGCGCAAGCCGCATCGACGACGAGGTCAATGAGGTTCCAAGCGAGATAAGGGCTACTTAAATGGTTGACCTAACCACCGCTGCTATCAATGTAGTCAACTACTACGCCCAGTAGAAGCCAGTCAAGCTTATTGCTGACAAAGGAGGCATCATA